TCAGGCGCCAACCTATAGAACAAGGGAATTCATTTCATGTTTTCGCATCAGGCGCCGACCTGGAGAACAAGGGAATTCATTTCAAGTTCAAGCATAAGGCGCTCACCTCGAGAACAAGGGAATTCATTTCAAGTTTTAGTATCAGGCACCCACCTGGATAACAAAGGAATTCATTTCAAGTTTAAGCAGCATGCGCCCACCTGGAGAACGAGGGAATTAATTTCAAGTTTGAGCATCAAGCGCCCACCTGGAGAAACAAGGGAATTCATTTCAAATTTAAGCATCAGGCGCCCACCTGGAGAATGAGGGAATTCATTTCAAGTTTTAGCATCTAGTGCCGACTTTGGGAACACGGGAATTCATTTCTAGTTCAAGCATAAGGCGCCCACCTGGAGAACAAGGGAATTCATTTCAAGTTTAAGCATCAGGCTCCCACCTGGAAAATAAGGGAATTCATTTTAAGTTTTAGCATCAGGCGCCCACCTAGAAAACATGTGAATTCATTTCATGTTTTAGCATCAGGCGCCCACCTGGAAAACAAGGGAATTCATTTCATCTTTTAGCATCAGGCGCACACCTGGAGAGCTAGGGAATTCATTTCAAGTTTTAGCATCAGGTGCCCACCTGGAGAAACAAGGGAATTCATTTCAAGTTTAAGCATCAGGCGCCCACCTGGAGAACAAGGGAATTCATTTCAATTTTAAGTATCAGGCGCCTGCCTGGAGAACAAGGGAATTCATTTCAAGTTTAAGCAGCATGCACCCACCTGGAGAACAAGGGAATTCATTTCAAGTTTTAGCATCAGGCGCCCACCTGAATTCATTTCAAGTTTTAGCATCAGGCGCCCACCTGGAGAACAAGGGAATTCATTTCAAGTTTAAGCATCAGGCGCCCACCCGGAGAACAAGGTAATGCATTTCAAGTTTTAGCATCAGGTGCCCACCGAAAAAACAAGGAAATTCATTTCAAGTTTAAGCATCAGGCGCCCACCTGGAGAACAAGGGAATTCATTTCAAGTTTCAGCATCAGGCGCCCACCTGGAGAACAAGGGAATTCATTTCAAGTTTAAGCATCAGGCGCCCACCTGGAGAAACAAAGGAATTCATTTCAAGTTTAAGCATCAGGCGCCCACCTGGAGAATAAGGGAATTTATTTCAAGTTTTTAGTCAGTAGCAGGCACCAGCTGGAAAAAGAGGGAAGTCATTTCAGAATTCATTTCAAGTTTCAAATCGGAGGTAGCACGAGTTACCTGAAGAATAAGGTTTTTACCTCGAGGCACGGGGGTTTTAGATGACAAAAGAAGAAGTCTCAATCCAAGAAAAAGAAATAAAAGGAAAAAAAGCGGGAAGTGAATCCAAATGCAGAAGCAGATGAAAGATGTGAGTTGCTCAGGACATGCCTGAAGCCACGAGCACTGCATGTCCGGTCTTGATCCGAAGAAGCCGTGAAAGAATGAACTAACGCCTACAGCTAACAAGCATCAAGATTCATATCAGAGTCCACATAAAGAACCAACCAAGACTCAAGATCAAGCTTGAGAAGACTCATAGATAGGAATCTTGTAACTCGTAGCTGATAGGCTTAGTTAGTCCTTTTTGATGTAATAACAGGACCGCGGACCGGAACCTCGATGGAACGGCACCTCAATCGGCTCTCCACCTCGGTATACTCCATCGATGTTCCTACTTTTGAACTACACGTGGCCTGATTCGTTTATAGCCAAGGATATGTAGGCAGCTCAGATACTATGGCTTGGTCACATTCTCCTTTCTCTTAGTTTTTGGTCTCTCTAAATAAGGGTCGGGTCAAAAACCTGTCTTGTCGTTCATTGTTTGAAAATACTTCGTATTTCCAGTCAAAGAGGGGCAGCTGTAGGCATGTGATTTTTTACCCTCCCCAAGATTTTACATATTTTAGCATTTAAATATTTAGTATAGGCCTAATATCGCTATTTCAGTTAGTTTTGACTCTTTTACTTTATTTTGTCACAAAAATAAAAATTAAAAAAAATATTTTCTTTTATTTAGATAATTAATATTTTATCTAGTTATTTTTAATTTATCTACCTTACATAAAATTCAAAAATACAAAAATAGTTCCACTTTATTTCAGTAATATTATTTTAATTTCACAATGATTTTTTCATTTTTATCTTTTAGTATGATATTTGAAAAATACCAAAAATAGGTTTGTTTTAACGGTTAGTTTTATTTGAATAGTTATTTTACATTAGCAAATTGTGTAGTATTTTTAGTCTTGTTTTAGAAAAAGAGTATAAAATTTGAGACTAATTTTGCGTGGTCTTAATTGAAGAGGTCCAAAGAGATGGCCCAATTTTAAAGCCCAAACCCTAAGACCTACTTCCCCTCCTTCTTATACAGCCTAACACACATTTTAAAGGTAGACATTAAAATAACCATAAAAACCTTAACAAAAAGAGAGCTTCAGTCATTTCCTATCATAAACTCCCTCCCCACCCTCTGACCCGATCTTCTTAGATTTTTCAATTGAAAAGAAGCACACACCCATCACACAATCGGGGAGTTTTCCTTCCTTAACCAAAATTGCAGCCACAACTTCCATAGAAAACACTCAAAAACCTCAACAAAAAAAAAGAACCTAAAAACTAAGCTGAATACAATTCGAAAACAGTCAAATCTCAGCCATTAAAATGTCCAAACCCAGTTGAGTATATACAAGGTTTGTCGAGCTCCGGCAAGTTTGAGGTCGAGGTTTCGTCACGATATTGGTTGACAGTAGGCGTTTTGGTTCGGAATACTTGAAAGATTGTTGTTTGGTACTGATTTCTGAGTTTTGCTCACTGGTTTATTATTCCAGGTTCTAATTCTTTTCCTCGTTCTGTTACACTATTGAAGCATGGATGAATGAAGTGATCTTATTCATAAGTTGTTTTGTCTTCTTTTATGGTTTACTGTAATTATTTAGTATTCCATTTTGATTTGTTTATTTAATTTACAGCTAGCTTAACTAAGTTTTAATTGAATAAGTATGAAGATATCGCTTATGGTAATAGAAAGTAATTAGGCGTGGATTTCCTTAAGATCAAACAAATAAAAAAAAAAGAAAAGAAAAAGTTACGGTGATTTGGGCTTAGAATAATACCAAGTTTGAACATATTCAGCAAGTGATGGCATGCTATCAGACTTGGACGATGAACCAAGAAAAAGGGTCAAGTTTCCTAGCAAGGCTGTGACCACGAAGGGCAGCCAAATAGGGAGTGGAAGCATGGACCTGATGCTTCAGAAGCTGCTAGACTTGGTTGAGTCATAGGGAGATTCAGGCAAAGAGCAAGGAGAGGCATCCGATGGGCGGAGGATCGAGGTCATCATTGCTAGCTGTCCAAAGTACAAGTGGACCAAAAAGAAAGGTGACCAGTACCTTGTGGCATGGGAAGGCGAACCACTCCATAGAGCATCATGGCAATTGGACAGAGATCTCATGCGACACCAGTGTGAGGTGCGTGCGTATGTGTCGATGCTTTGTGCCAGGGCGGCACAAAATTTGGTGGGGGAGAGTGTCATGACCTGCCACATCATCATGTTACGTAGGTGCTCTTTGGCATATATTAATGCCATGTGGAAGCTTACATAGGAGGAATGCTAGCATTTGTAAGGAGATTTTAAAGAAGTATGGACATTTCCTTAGGAAGACCCTAGATCCCTAAGGATTTGCTACGAAAGTCTTTGAGATCTTTTAGGCTTGTAGAGAGTTCTAGAGAAAGCCCTTATCTTGTAATTATTTAGGCCTTGTGTAACAATTAATATTTATATACTAGCTCCTAGGAGACTAGTATATAAAGGGGGCCATTCATTTGTAATTCATCAAGCAAAACAATCAAGTCCTCTCTAATACAAAAGAGTCCTTTGTCAATTCTCTTGTGTTCTAACATTACCTTAGTGATATTGAGTGTGGTAAGGCTGACTTGGCATAGCAAGAATATGAGCAAGTTGTGCAAGATCGTGAGCGAGTTGTCAAGTGCTGCACGTGTACTTAATTAAATACTAAGGACGTGACACTAATATGAATAAATGCATCATTTTACTTTGTCAATGTTTTTTCTTATAGCGTCAGGGAGCAAATTACATTGCATAACGTAGTTGCAATGGCACTGATGACAATTTAGCAACTGTTACACAGCCCGCAAAGTTAAGAAACTAAGTTTTTCTGACTTTATGTGTTGCTCTATAGTCTACAAGTATTTTTCCAACTCAAGAAATGCTAAAGTTATTAACTATGACGGAAGGAGGGTTTTCGACAAAAAATAACTCGAAAGTACTTTATTTTAGTGACGTGACTTCAGGAGTAGATTTAGACAGTTAAGACATTGCTTACACTTTTTGCAGATTGCTTACATAAAAACTAGTAGAAATAAAGGAATCTTGAAGGGAAAAAGAAACCGTGTTGGAGAGAAGGAAGAGACCTCTTTATTACCAGTATCAGAGCCCGCAGGGAGAATGAAAACATTGGTGGAAGATTATTGTTTCTATCTGCCTTGGGTGCTGAAAAGAGACTAGTTTATCCTCTTCAATGAAACACATATTATGAGATATATAGGCCGGATTGATCTAAGGTCAAATATCCTGATCGAATTCGAGTCATCTCCTAAATTAATTTTCTTTTTTGTTTTGGATGGTTATTGATCAGAAATTAAGAGAAGTAAGAACATTTCGTATTGATGACCAAGAAAACTCTGGAGAAGAAGTAGGCTTAAACACTGTCCAAGACAACAAAACCATCATATTGTGGGGAGGTTAAAAAGATAATCCAATGCATAACGGTTTTGCATTTACTTTTTTCGTCGTGCCCCCTCCCCCTCCCCCTCCCACCCCACCGCGCTCCCCCCAAGCACCCCATGCTCAGGGGAGTATTAATAGTCAATAATATATTGGTAATAACACTTTTTAGGCTTAGAATGTTTTATATAAAAATTACGCAGGTACTTGCCAATAGAAGGAGAGACTTTAAAACCAAAGACGGGATTTCAATAATTATGACATACAGATAACAAAGTGAAACCAGAGTTACATTTTTTATTGAAGAGAAAAACATAGCAGTTCTTCTTATTCCTTATATCACTATGTATATCAACATATACTACCATTAATTAATTGAAATTGAGTTCATATTTTGCCCTCTGATCAGGAGAAAAGAGTCCAAAGTGTTTCTCAGTGATATCTCCTTCCTTATTATTTTCATCAAACATGGCAAATAAATAAGTTTCTATAGTCTTTCCAGGTTTCTTTGGAGTTCCTGCTCCGCTTTTCACATGATTAATCAAATTTTTATAGTAAGTTTTAGCATTTTCAATAGTTGCTGCAGAGCTTCCTTCAGAAGGCCATCCACTTTCAGATACAACAATCTCCACATTTAGTCCTCCGGCTTTCTCTACAGCAAAATACATAGAATCCAAAAGGGCATCAAAAAGATTTTGATATCCTGCAGGATTTGCTTCTTGTTGTGTGAACAAAGCATAAGAAAGTGGGACATCAGCAGTGTTGTAAATGTGACCAAAATAAGGATAGACATTGGCTAAGAGTGGAAGGTTATTTCGTGCTAGAAATTGGATTATGGGATTAATGAAACTATTAAATTCTCCTCGAAAAATACTATCTTTGGGTGGGTAGGTGTTTGCTAAGAGCCCTGAATATGTTGCAGTTGAGACCTTGATTTGATCTTGCAACCCTGCTGCTGCTAATGCATTGTACACATTTTGCATGGCAGGAGCAACAAATGGTGCATATTGACCATTATTTCCGGGAGAGACTTCATTTCCAACAGCTATATATTTAAATTTAACATCTGGAAAATGATTTATTATGTTATCTTGGACCCATCCATTAGCTCTTGAAGAATCAGTTAGGGATTGAAGATCTTGATTTGGGACGTCGAGAATGATCTCAATGTTACTTCCTCTGAGAGCGTTGAAGACATTTGTATCTGGATTGTAGATTCTCATCTTTCTGATGCCATTAGCATTGTATAGGTTTATAACATCTTGGTCTGATGGTAAATTGCTTGCAAGTTTTCCAAAGCATACTCCAATAGATTGTGCCCCTGATTATAAGAAAAAGAGTATATTACAAAGATGTTTCAGTCCCCAAATAAGTTGGTGTAGAATAAATGAATATTCTCACTAACCATGATTCTCTGTTTAAGTTCTTCTCTAGCCAACATGTTAAAATATATTAATCCTAATATAGATTGTAAAAATTATTCACGCTATCAGTGTACATAAGTTGATTCGCATCATACAAGGTGCATGTACATGTATCATGAGAGAGAATGTGAGAGAGAGAGAGAGAGAGACCTATCTTTTGGATACTGCAAATTAACAGCGCAACAAGTACAAGGGCAGCTGCAAGAAAGCCATTTTTAATGCATAAAGTCATAGCTAAAATGGAAATGAGAGAGTAAGAAACACTAAAGCTGAAATTGTGTGTTGAAGGAACCATTAGGCTGCTTCTTATATAGACAAGCAGAAGAAGACCGACGAAGACTTAAAAAGCCAAACTCAATTGCCCTGTGAGGCAGTTAGAGGAATAGTGTAATTTTGTCAAGTAGCGTAAATAACCAAGTCACACCCAGTGAAGCACGTCATGGAATTAAAACAGTGTATTTTTTGTCACAAGTGAAGAAAAAAAAAATGTAGAAAGTGTTGGAAAAAATTGGATGATTATGGAGAATAAAAGGTTTAGCTTGAGGCGTGTCAAAGACACTGTCCTTAAGGATATTTCGCCCACCCCGAGATGAATAATGTTAGGCGTATCTCCCAGGATTCAACAAGCTCTTCTAGTATAACTAGGAGCAGAAACAACAAAGATTTGTGAGAAGAAAACCCAGCACAAAAGAAAAGGGAAGAAAAGTTTTAACTTTTTTCACACAGATTAAAAGATGAAAATAGAAATATATATAGTCCAAACCAAATAGACTCTCTGATTGGAAACGTGCAAAGCCATAATGGCTTTTCAAAGCAAAATGACTGCTACATAGAAACAGACGTTTTCAATTGAGAATTAAAATGTTTTGAAACATCAATACAAAGACTAATTAGTGAGTTTACAATTCACTGAATAACGTTCAAAAAACCATTAAGGCTTTAATAACAAAACGTAAAACCATTTAAGGCTACAAAATGTCAAACATTCAAATCTCATATATACATATAGGTATCAAAATCAGTTTTAATATTTCAAAATTGTATTGTACAATCTGTTACAAATAATAAGAGTAATTTGTATAATAAAGAGCAATTAATATTATATTAAGGAATGAACATAGACATTAATTTGAATATTTCTTTTTGAGATATTTTAATATATTTTTTTCTATCAATCCCCCACATATCTCAAAAAGAATAAAAAAATATAGTGAACCAAATTTTTCTCTGGGTTTTCACAAATGAACATAATGCGTCGAATCTGGTGTCTCTTGGACTATGAACCAGACCTAGATAAAATAAGATTAAACTTACAGAACAAATGCTGAAGTTTAGAACTTCTATGAACCAAGAATTCTTTTGTAAGTTTAGTGTCTTATCTATCACATTATACCCGCACACACTTTGTTGTTTATCGCGGTTTTGCGCTAATAGGCCATGTGCGCGCCTGGTTTTCATGAGTGCTCTAGAAATTTAGCCACAAATTTCATAGGAGCGGCCCCACTCCACACTCATATAGGTCCATCCATCAAGTGTATTCTGCAGCACAATACACCACCTACAATAGGCTATGGATTATTGGATTAAGAGTTTAATAACTCAGCCTCCCATTCCTTGCAGTCTTGCACTATATATACACACACCATAGGAAGGGATATAATTTAATAGTGCACATTTGATCAACTAATGACTTGTTATTACCCATATGAACCTACTTCATGGGATCTCCAATCACATAGGTTGGGTTACCATCATAGTTGATATAACTCAAATTGGCAAAAGTCCCATTCCCCTCGATGTTTCAGATATTAATTTTCTTCCCAAAGGTTTAGTCAGAGGATCGGCCAAATTCACTTCTGACTTCACATAATCTATGGAAATAATTCCATCTCTCAGCAGCTGCTTTATCACATTATGTCTCAATCGGATATGTCTACTCTTCCCATTAAAGGATTTATTTTTGGCAATGGCTATTGCAGCTTGGCAATCACAATGCATCGACACAGAAGGTGTCGGTTTAATTCCTAGTGGAATACTCGCCAAAAGGTTCTTTAACCACTCGGCCTCATTGCCAGCTAATTCCAATGCCACAAACTCAGATTCCATGGTAGATCTAGCTATTATTGTTTGTTTAGCTGATTTCCATGCCACAACACCCCCACCGAGGGTGAACACATAACCACTAGTGGATTTTGTCTCATCTGAATCAGAGATCCAGTTAGCATCACTGTATCCTTCTAGTACAGTGGGAAATCCACTATATTTAATACCATAGTTCATGGTACCTCTCAAATATTTCATTACTCTTACTAATGCATTCCAATGATCATGACTCGGGTTTTGAGTATATCTACTCAATCTACACACAGCATATGCAATATCAGGTCTAGTAAAATTCATCAAATGCATTAGGCTACCAATAATTTGAGCATATTTATTTTGATCTACAGCATCTCCCTTATTCTTTTTTAATTGACTACTAGCATCATAAGGAGTGCTTACAGGTACCACATCAAAATTATCAAATTTTTTAAGAATTCTTTCAACATAATGTTCTTGAGTCAACATCAAACTATTGCCATCTCTTATAATTTTCATGCCTAAAATAACACTAGCTTCTCCCATGTCTTTCATCTCAAAATTAGAAGACAAGAAAAATTTGGTTTTATGTACCAAATCAAGGCTAGAACTAAAAATAAGCATGTCATCCACATAAAGGCAAATAATAACACATGTACCATCTACACATTTTGTATAAACACATTTATCTACTTCAATTGATGAAAAACCATCATTAATCAATACTTGATCAAATTTTTCATGCCACTGTTTAGGCGCTTGCTTTAGACCATATAAAGATTTTAGCAATTTACATACTTTATTTTCTTGGCCAGACACTATACAACCCTCAGGTTGCTCCATGTAAATTTCCTCTTCCAAATCACCATTTAAAAATGCAGTTTTAACATCCATTTGGTGAATAAAAAGTTTATAAATAGAAGCCAAGGCAAGTAAAACACGAATCGAGGAAATTCTAGTTACAGGAGCATAAGTGTCAAAATAATCAATATTTTGCTTTTGGGTAAAACCTTTTGCAACAAGTCTAGCTTTGTATTTATCAATGGAACCATCCGGATTGAGTTTCTTCTTAAAAATCCATTTACAACCAATGGGTTTAGCTCCCGGAGGTAAATCAACTAAAATCCAAGTTTTATTTTGTAAAATTGAATTTAATTCTACATCAATAGCTTCTTTCCAAAATGAGGCATCAGACGAAGAAATAGCTTCAGAATATGTTAAAGGATCATTATCCACAAGATAAGTATAAAAATCATTACCAAAAGATTTTTCTTTCCTTGGTCTTTTGCTTCTTCTTAAATCCTCACTTTCAAAATCATTTTGAATAATTGGATCATGTGAAATATTATCACTTGGAATAATAGGAGCATCAGAAATTTTCTCAAATTTTAAAGGAAAAATATTTTCAAAAAATTCAGCATTTTTTGTTTCAACAATAGTATTATTTTCAAGTACATCACTTTTGACTACTAAAAATCTGTATGCTGCACTGTTTTCAGCATACCCAATAAACATACAATCAGATGTTTTAGATCCTATTTTTCTTTTCTTAGGATCAGGCAACATAACTTTAGCAAGGCACCCCCACACTTTCAAATATTTCAAATTAGGTGGATACCCTTTCCACAACTCATAAGGAGTTTTACCCGTTTTCTTATAAGGAATTCTATTTTGTAAATGACAAGCAGATAAAATGGCTTCACCCCAAAGATTATCCGGAGCACCAGAACTAACAAGCATACTATTCATCATTTCCTTTAAGGTCCTATTTTTTCTTTCCGCTACACCATTTGATTGTGGAGAATATGGCGGAGTTATCTCGTGAATTATGCCTTCTTTCTCACAATAATCATTCAACAAAATAAATTCACCACCTCTATCGGATCTAACTCTTTTGATTTTCTTATCCAATTGATTTTCTACTTCAGATTTATAAATTAAAAACTTATCAAAAGCTTCATCTTTATTTCTCAACAAATAAACTTTTGTATATCTAGAGAAATCGTCTATAAAAATCACATAATATTTTTTCCCTCCTCTAGTCATAGATTGTTTCAAGTCTCCTAAATCAGTATGTATTAAACTTAACAATTCAGATTCTCTAAATACTGAAGCACATGATTTCTTCGTTTGTTTAGCTTCTGCACAAACTTCACACTTATCAATATTCAAAAAATTAATATTTGAAATAAGACCTTCAGAATGCATTTTTTTAATATAAGATAAACTAACATGTCCTAATCTAGCATGCCATAAATTAAAAGAATCAATCAAGTAAGCAGAAGTACTAGCATTTTCATTGATAACATTGAGTACAAACAAGCCATGATTATAATAACCCTTGCCAACAAAATTATTATTCTTGGTCAACACGACCTTATCAGATTCAAAAGCAACCTTCACCCCCACTTTTCCTAATAATCCCACAGAGACCAAATTGGCTCGGATACTAGGAACATGTAACACGTCATTCAATGCCAAAATTTTGCCAGATGTGAGTTTGAGAAGAACTTTGCCTTTTCCAAGAACTGGAGCAGTTCTTGAGTCACCAAGATATACAACTTCTTCTCCTTCCTCAACTTGGGTGTAAGACACAAAGTCTTTTTTGTTAGCACATATATGCCTAGTGGCACCAGAATCTAACACCCAGTCTTTCACATTGGCCACAAGGTTCACTTGGGAAACAACTGCAACAATTATGTCATCAGCTTTAGCTTCAGTTAAATTTACTTTAGCCTTGGCGGGATTGTCATTCCCAACCCTCTTCCGGCATTGAGCAGCATGATGGCCAGGTTTGCCACACACAAAGCAGTTACCTTTTTTCTTGAAGGTTTGATTGTTGGTTTTGGGCTTATAACCATTTCCTTTATCATACCTGTTATTTGATTTGTTCTGCCGCTTGTTGTTCTCCACCAGGTTGGCTCTTGTAGCAATCTCCTTTCCTTTGTCAGCAACAGCTTGCTTGCGATTTGTATTTTCAATTATAATATGCTTGACCAAGTCCTTCAGCGACAATTGCTTGTGTTTGTGTTTCAATTGTTGTTTGTAGTCATTCCAAGATTTGGGAAGTTTTTCTATAAGCATACCAGCAACAAACTGTTCGGGCAGAGAAATATCTTCAGATTTGAGATCTTCAATCAATTTGTGATATTCGTTGATTTGTGCAGTTATGTCCTTGTCCTCCGTCATCTCCCAC